TGGGGGAGATGACACTGTTTGGCTCTAATTATTTACAGTAATTTTAATAGTAACAAACTGCTTGATAAGGCAGATTTATTACAACTTATATTTTGTTGATTTACAGTCGTGATGATGTATGTGGTGGATACACACGTGAGCTTAATGCTGGAGCACTACACTGTTGGCTTACTAGGGTACTTTACAATCGTCGTAGTAGATTTGACCCTCTTTGGCTAGAGTGTGTTGTAGCTGGTTACAAGGATGACGAACCGTAAGTTGAAGTTTCATGTTTAAGTTATTTATTTTGTAGATCTTCATTTATTTCAGGAACTTAATCCTAGAAATAATTTTCATTCAAAATTTGCCTCCAAAATATTTCCTTCTGGTAAAAAACTAGGAAGCATGTTTATGTACATAATGCCAAATACAGCTGAGAGTGTCCTCATTACTCAGATTTACAACATTGAAGATTCTTCCCCCCCCCCCCCCCCCCCCCCCCCCCAAAAAAATAAGTTTTGAAAATTACCCAGCGTTGTTGGAGGTCGAAGGTTATATAAGAACACAAGAAAAAAGGAGCACTGCGCCAAGTCTGCGATTAGTATACGAAGCATAAAAAAAATCCTGCCTCATGCAGTGCTTGATGGGAAAAGCCTAAAATGGCAGTGTGTGGTAAATGTGAGGCCTAGAAAAATTGTATAATATGCATTGTGTACTAGTACAGTGGACACAGTTGAAAGGTCAATGGACCTCTCATAAACAGATAACAGTTTCTGACCAAAAAATTACCTGGACAAACATTGTCATTATGGGACACAGTAGACAAAAGTCCATAACTCTGCATTTTGTCTGTAGTGAGTGTCATGTTTTTCTTCTGAAGTATTGAGCCAAGTCCACTAACTCTGTCATTTGATCTTTGCTCTGCTGCTCATAGGCTAGCAGTGCATATGAATGTAGAATTTAACCCTTAAACTGTCCAAACGTAGCAGTGCATATGAATGTAGAATTTAACCCTTAAACTATCCAAACGTAGATCTACAGTAGTACTGCTAACGCTCTGAACGTAAATCTATGTTTAATTTTTCATGCCTTCAAATTTGGCATGATAGGCCTGAGTCGCCTAGACATGAGAGAATGTGTCTGAGCACTCAGTGTGCGTATTATGAAAAAAATTGGGATGCCACGGTACTGCATGGTACCTCCAGTTAGTTTCAGCTCCATCTTGAGTCAGCATCATGGCAAACCCCTGTGATTCATTCATGCCTCCACTCCCGTCTCTCCTCCTGCTCCCCCCACGCCCCATGCCACAGGTCCACCCTGCACCATGTGATCATGAATGGAACTGGACAGAAAGTACACCATTCCACTGGCATCATCCTCTCAGTTTTGATGCTAGTGGAAGTGGCATCATGCCAGAATGTTCCATCACAAATGAATCTCCAGAGTTAGACTATTTCCAACTATACTTTGATGAGCCTATAATGAACCTGATTGTTCCCCAGACCAACATGTACTACCACTATACAATGAACAACACAGAGGTTGCAGCATCGTCATGGCTGCACAGGTGGAAAGATGTAACTGTGGCTGAAATGTATTTATTCCTTGGCACTGTCATGCTTATGCCACATACATATAAGAACAATATAACACACTACTGGTCCACAGACTACATCATCAGTATACTCCAGTCTTCCATGACCTCCTTCCCTGCAACAGATTCACTCTGTTGCTACGAATGTTGCACTTCTCGGACAGGAATACGCCCAACAGAAATGACCTCCTATACAAAATCAGAGAATTGTTTATGTATCTGATTCAAAAATTCACTGCCTACTTTTATCCATTCAGGAACTTTGTTGTGATGAGTCCTTGATTCTGTTCAAGGAATGACTGTCATTGAAACAATGTATACCAAGCAAACGCAATTGCTTTGGTTTAAAAAACTCTTTGTGTGTGACTGTGAGACTGGTATTGTGTTGGATGTCATCTACACAGGGAAAAATATACTCAATGATACCAGGTGCATGTTGGGCATTTCTGGGTATGTTGTTCTCAAGATGGTGGAGCCTTACCTTGGCAAGGGTCATACATTGTTCACAGACAACTGGTATACAAGCCCTATGCTTGCTGATTTTCTCTGTGTGAACAGTACTGATATATGTGGAACAGTGAGAAGAAATAGAAAACACATGCCAAGGTTCACTGGTGGCATTGCTGATGGTGCAGTGCAAGCGTTTCGTACCAATGACATTATGGCAATGACGTGGCATGACAAATTGGGCGTGACGTTGCTGTCAACCATTCGCAGAAACGAGATGGTACAAACAGAGTGAACACGGACACCAGTGAACATATTGTAAAGCCAGCTGCTGTCGTTGACTATACAAACAATATGCGACTAGTTGACAAGTGTGACATGCAATTAGGGTTTGTTGACTGTGTGCATAGGAGTCGCAAGTAGTATATGAAAGTGTTTTTCCATCTTGTAGACATTGCAATGCTCAGTGCCTTCAACATGTATGAAATAAAGACTGGGAAGCGACAACGCTATGCGGAATTCACCTTCAGTGTCATAAAGCAGATAGTAAAAAAAGTATGGTACCACACCTGTACAGTGGACAAATTCATCTATAAGTGTGAACATGTGTGTTTGTGACAGTATGATTACTAATTCAGTACCAAACATTTGTGTCTCAACAACAGTTGGTTATGAAATCAAAAGATCTGCAACAAAACATTGTTATCATAACATAAAAACAACGAAAATTACAAAAGAATTGAAAAAAAAAACGATAAATCTTTAATATTTCTGCAAGCGGCAGCACTCCATGTTGCCATCACCTGAGCATTCAGCACCAACTTCGTGGGCTTATATCTCAGTAAGTAGTGACCCTAAAAAAAATTTTTTTTATCTTATAACATGTAGAACAACGTTGTCTTTTTTTTTTTTTCTTCTTCTTTTTTTTTCTAAAAAAAAATATTCTGAGCGCTGGGCGAGAAAATGTAGATCTGTGTTTGGACAGTTTAAGGGTTAAAGCAAGTGATGATTAGCTTTGGCGGTTCCATAATTGTTGTGGCATGAGTAGTGTGAAGACTTATTGCGAAGCTGGTAGTGCACCCATGGGCAAAGTTGAGTTGTTTATGTTAGTGTTTAATGATATGATAGAGGGTGAGAAACTGTTACCTCAGCTGTACAATGCTGATTTAAACTGGTTTCTTTTTAGGTTTGCTCCTTCCAACAAAACTAGCCTTTCAGCATGAAGATAGAACACCAGGCTGTAAGCTCAGCAGAGATGCTTCTCAGTGTTTGCTGTGCTGATGCTGATAGTTATTGCCATATAAAACTGACAGTCTCAGCACAGCCTCATTCTTTAAAGGAAAGTGATGATGATGACAAAGAGGAGATTGAGTCACTGCAGCTGCCAGTTGTAGGAGATGCAATTGGTGTTCTTATCAGGTACACTCACCTCTCAGACAAAAATGAAGGGAAGGCCCATTAATGTTTTTCTCAGTCATCTAAGTCTTCTCAGACCTGTACATTTCAGCCATTCACATTATTTTCACTAGTAGAGCTTTAGCCCCTTGACTGTCAAAACCCCAAACCCCGAGGTGTCTTCTGGTGTCGAAAATTTAAAAAAAAAAAAAATAATAATTTATTCTTATGAAATGATAGAGAATCTTTTCCTGATGGTAATGACACCAAAAAAAAAAAACGAAATTTGATGGAAAACTTACGGAATTACGCTCCCACAAAGTTAGCGACTTCGGCAATATTTACGAATCGGCAATTTCGCCCACTTTGAGCCCTATTTTCGGGTAATTATATTGTTCCAGTCAACAAAGCTCGTATCTATTTCTTTAGAACCATTTGTTCTATCGACTGAGTACAAGAAACTGCCCATTTCCCGATTTTAACTACCCAATAACGTGGTCAGAAATTTGCAATTTGGCCAATTTCATGCAAATTAAAAAAAAATATGCCAATTTCAAAATAGGGTCCAGAATGAACAGTGCAGACATTCCTGGCTCTAAAATATCATTTTCTTTGTTCATCAGTCATGTCTCCAGGCCCCTCTGATATTACTCTTGCTTTCTATTTTGAATTTTTATTCAAACAAAAAATAGAAGATTTACTGTTATGTAGACTACTGCAATATTGTAATAATTGTATAAATAATTCAACCCATTCATGACTGCATATTAGAATGGCTAGTTGGACATTTATTGGACAATGACATCAATATATAATAACAAAAAGGCACAATACCGTGACTGGAACGATACACAAAATAACCCGCACATTGACTTTGTCAATGGTCCAAGTCGGACCGAAACGTCGTCGTAAGCTTCTGTCTTTTATGTGCGGGTTATTTGTGTATACAATGACATCATTTGTTTACTTTTGAACATCAGCAAAAATCAAACATTTACCCTATTTGAACTCCAGTTCAAGGTTCTTTTCATAGTAAAACCAAACAAAATCACCTGTAATTCTATAATATATGTTTTCCATTCTATCAAATGAGACCAAGAAAATGAGAATACAACCATAAATACTATACGAAAATACACCACAAAGTCTGCGTTTTAATCCAAAAAAAACGGTCTTTTTTTTTTCTCTCATTATGCGCTGCATGCTGCAGGATTTTTTTTATATGGTGCACACTGACCACACAGACTCATTCTCTCACATGTGGGCCTACCAGCTTTCTCCTGCTTGATTTGAAGATGCTAGAATTTTTGAGTGTGTATACATCAAACACGATGGCTCGTAAAATGTATATATATAACCGAAACAGTCAAAGGGTTAAGTCTTTCAGGGTTTCCGACGTACTAGTACAGCTTACACACCAGGGTTATTGATGTACTAGTATGCCTAAATTCTAGCGCCTTCAAATCTAGCGATAGAAAGCTGGTAGGCCTACATATGAAAGAATGGGTCTATGTGGTTAGTGTGTGCAGTATAAAAAAAAATCCTGCAGCACACAGTGCATAACGAGAAAGAAAAAAACTGACCGTGTTTTTGGTTTAAAACAGTGACTTTGCACTGTATTTTCTTATGGTATTTATGGTTGTATTCTAGTTTTCCTGGTCCCATTTTATAGAATGGAAGACATATTACAGAAATTGAGAGGATTTTGATTGGTTTCACAATAAAAAGTACCTTGAGATTGAGCTCAAAGTAGCAAAAATGTTCGAATTTTGCCAAAGTTCAAAAGTAAACAAATAATGCTACGCGTCCAATACACGTCAACTGGTGAGTCTAATATT